TAGATAGATAGATAGATAGATAGATAGATAGATAGATAGATAGATAGTCAGACTACAAAAAAGATGCTAGCAAACTAAATGGAGCATAGGAGGCTCTGGAATAGCTTCTAATTTCAGTTTCCCTTTTCTCTTAGAAGAGCTGATCTCTTATCCCATAATTTATTTAGGAGCCTTTAGTGAAGGGCTTGGTAAAAAAAATTGCAATATATAGCTAGAAAACACAATCACATGTTAACTGTTGAAATTATTAATAGCTCTTAAAAGCTGGTAGAGTTTGCAGAATTCAAGATATTTCTTCCTGATTGATGATGATTGACTATGAGTTAGGAAGGTGATGTGGTTGTAAAAAGGCAAAAGCAATTTTAGGCCATATCAACAGAAGCATCTATTTTATACTGCCTGATAGATTCAGTCTCAAGAACTGTATGCATTTCTGGGGTTTTCATTTAGGAGGATTCAAAGAAAGTCAGGTCCAGAGTTTCTGAGGATGTCCAAGAGTTTAGAAATGAAGTTTTGAAGAGGCATTAAAAGAATTAGACATGTCTAACCTTGAGAAGAAAGGACTGAGGGGCATATAATGGTATTTTTAATAGCTGAAAGGATGACACACAGATGATTGAGATGTTCTTTAATCCCCTAGAGAAGATGGGATGAAATCATGGATTTATGTTATAGGAAGGCAGATTCTACAGTAGTTGAATGTTAGGAAATTATTTTTATTTTAGAAATGTATAGGCTGCCCAACTCTACAACAACTTTCTGAGCACATACAACAATAATAATCATATAATTAAGAAACCCAAATTCCAGAAGAAAGCAATAATTAAAGATAACGAATTATCTAGAGACCTACACTTACTCAGTTCATAGCCTGGGGAAACCCATGCTTTCAAAGCTCTTGTACAGAGTAGAGACCAGACAGGGGTATAGCATTCCATATTGATAGCAGTAGCAATAGTACTTATATACTGCTTTACAGTGCTTTACAGTCATCTCTAAGCTGTTTACAGAGTCAGCATATTGCCCCAACAATTTGGGTCCTCATTTTACCCACCTCAGAAGGATGGTAGGTTGAGTCAACCTTGAGCCAGGTGAAATTTGAACTGCCAAATTGCAGGCAGCCAGCAGTCAGCAGAAGTAGCCTGCAGTATTGCACTCTAATCACTGCACCACCGTGGCTCATGTCCCGTCAGGTGACACTGGGACCTGAATGAGATCTGGATTATGGCCTGATTGTATAGGCCAGTCAAAAGATGCAAAAGACTAGCTGTCTTTTTAGGTAAACTTTTCCTTAATATTAAGAACAGTTCAATGGTACTGTTTATGGTATTGTTCAGATACTGCTTATCTACAAAATATCTTCACTAAATATCTTTAAGCAGAGACAGATGCTCTAATGTGGTCTCTTTTCATAAAGCAAAATGTTGGAATCAGTAGCTTCAATGTATGTTCCAAGCCTCTGTTTCTCTGAATGCTTAATGTTCAATTATTATAATTGTATAAATAAATGATCTAATTATTACATAATTATAATTATGTTTATTCCTAGTCAATAATTAATTTTCCAAGGTGAAATATAAAATCTTATTTTTTATGCCTATGGCTAAATTAAAGCAGAGAAGATTAGTCTTAGTCTAACATTCCCTGCTTCAGTTTAAAATCCATCTTTGTGTGTATATAAACCAGTTCTTACTATTTCTAGTCTACAAAAAGGCAGACCCAACAATCCCAGATGAAAATCTTCTGAATTCACATTCTTGAACAGCTTGATTTTATTATTGTCTTCTGATAGGACTTTGCATCTTCAGGCAAGGACTTGATAATACAAGGAAAAGCATTTCCAAAGGCTAGACCAGTTAAAATTCAGAAAAATATAGAAGACCTTCAGTATCAACAACCAGTATCTCTCCTTTCTACATGGACTACAAAGATCAAGTGAGCTTAAGATTTCTTTATGTAATGTTATTAATTAATAATATGATTTTACATTTACATTAGCTTTAGGTTGATAAAAATCACTTGTACACGTCATTTGAACAAAAATGTATAGCTGATTATAGATGTTTTATAAAAGAACAAGAGTTTGACTAAGGCAAGCTAATGTACAAATAATAGCTCTGGCAGAAATGTTGACTGACATACAACATAGTTACTTGGAAATAAGTTCTTTTTCAATATAAGGAATGCATCTTACTAAGCATGATTTGATTTGCCTGATCTTGAACTTTTCATTTAATTTTATTCTCCACTTTTTTGGCACATAATATTTTATTGTGGAGTATCTTGAATTATTTTATGGGTGTGGAAAAAGGCCTTCATAATTAGCTTTTGTAGTGCTTCAAGGTTTGAAAGTTTTCTTGGAAATAGAAGAGAGGATTTTTATAGCAGGACTAGAGTTCGTAAATGGGTATGACTTTCAGTTAAGTAACAGAGGGTGGACTCAGAGAAAAAGAATGCCAAAGTTTATGAAACAGTCAAATGGCATTTAGGTGACCTTGTGCATGCCATTGCTTATCTGCATTGCTTTAAATGCATTTGGTTGGCAAGATTATATATTAAAACAAATAGTGACAGCAGACAATGAGTATTTTACTTTAATAAAAAGTCACTGTCAAATTATCAACAGTGCAGAAAAAGCATGAATTTGTAGAAAATAAGACCTATTGAGTGAGGTTAATGTAGGCCACACACATAGTATTGTTTTTCTTGTCTCTTCTTTCAAAGGATGATAAATAGACTGCTTAAGGAAAGTATGTGTTGTAAAAACACACACCTTTGCCTATAAAGTGTTTTAAATATTTTAGTTTTTTCTGCGAGTATTTCTATTCTGTTTCTATTCTGTTTGCTAAGTTAATCTGCTTTTGGAGACCATGTTGGACACTGAAACTAGTTAGATAAATGTAAAAATACTAACAAAATGTGCTGGACATTAATGTTTACTCTATTCACTTGTACAAATATTTTGTAAAATTACAGAGTAGTTCTCAGGTTAAGAAAAAACCTAAACATTGGAGTCCAGTAAAAAATGTGTGATGAAAGTAAAGCTGGTGTTATTGTGATTCATACGCTTTGTTTCATATTTCACCAAGCACTTTTACAGAATAGTTTCTCAATTAAGAAAACCTATCTATTACTTAACTATCTTTTTTCACTACTGGTTCATTGTGATATATCAGGAGGTTTTCAGTCTTGTCATAACAAACCCAAATGTGATCATCCTTATAGAATAAGAAAGCTAGTCATCTTTGTTCCCAAAACATGCCAGATTCTGTTTTATTTTGTTATAACAAAGATTTATATAGAGTTGCAATGAGGCTTATACTGTGTGTATGTATATGTACACAGAGGCAGGGAGGGAGGGAGGGGGAAGAGAGAGAAGCACACTTTATAAATGAATGCTCATTTTATTCTTTAAAATTGATGAATGTGACCCAAGAAATATTGAAGTATTCATTATATATGGCTAGTATACTATATTGTATGCATATTACTGTGCTGTTTACGAAGATACATTGTGTTTTGGGGTTGGTTGTTAATTTAGTGGAACTGTTGGGGATTTGTGGATATATAAAATATGTATTTCTGGTTGTTGTACAGAAAGATTCTTCTAATGAGTAGTATAATTATGGTTGCTCTCTGATGTATGCTTAACTTGAGTGAGTCTTAAGAGACTTTCTTTTAAGTAAATATATTTAAGATATTTAATTGTTGAAGAGTTGCTTTATAGTCAGTATATACTTGCATAACCTGTTGATATGATCTTTATTTTTCCCCCCAGAGATGTGGATTACCCACTTATTCATCTTCTATGTACCACCTCTCCTGGGTTTGTGCTGCCCACTAATCTGCAGCTAGTTTCTAGAGTACATCATACCCTAGACAAAAATGGTCATGATATTTCGTTACCACCTATTAATTTTGACTGCCACAATTCTGAAGACCTATTCCCAGTAACTGCTGCATTTGAGAAACACATGTTCAGAGAAAGGTAAGCATCTAGTACAGTGTCATGAATTTGGAGTTGGAGTTTTTAATACTTTTACACATCTTTATTTATATACAATACGGGCAGTAATCCAATTGTTATGAATACAGCTGCAGTCTACCATTAGGATGGTGACTAAAACTAATTTATGGTAGTATTAGTAATGTCATATTCTCCTGCTTTTATTAAGGGAATCAGAGTATATTTTGGAATTGAAATACTGGGTGGATTTGTAGTATGTTTGTAAAGTGTTAAACAAGACCACAAGTTGCACTTTCTTTTTTTGTTTGCAGCAGACTAAAAATGTTCACTACAACTACAGTGTTGGGGAAAATGTGAGAAAATATGCATTGAGTCATGATTCAAACCTCTGAGTTTCGGATATCCATCTTGATATCCGATGCATGTAGTTAGATCACAGGTTTCAGGTTACAGTGCATATCACTTTCCTTTTCTTTCTCCCTGCCCTGTCCCCCAAATACTTCAGTATTCCTGAGAAATTCCTGAGAATCTAATATGTTACTTACAGAGCAGAGTCTAGGGTGGTGGCAAGATAGATCAGGTGGCATTATACAACTCAAGTAAGTTGGAAAAGAATATATTTATCATGTTTATATTTTTTTATTCTCCAAAAGTACTAGTGAATTTTGATCTGCTCTTTGACCAGGAACACCTTTCTCATCAGGTTTAAACATTAATTTATTTTCCTTATAAAATCCATGATATCAACCACTCTTAGAAGATTTGAATGGCTTCCTGTATTTCAGCTTTTTAGAAATGTATACATAGGCAGAAAGAAATAATTGGGAATCCCAGGTTTAATCTATGAAAAGAAAGGACAGATTTTAAAATCACTTTTCAAGGTGAGGCTCTTCTATTATGGTAGATTGCTTCCCACATTCTTCATTACCGCAACCACACAAATTAGTAGTGTAGCCAGGCAAATATTTGCCATAGGCAATATTAGATATTTTTCCATTGATATTTAATTGTGTCATGAGGTGAAGATTTTCAAATAGATACTTGAAAGGTTTACATAGAATTAAATCAAATTAAATCAAAATAAAATCCAAATGAATCTTAAAAAATAAAGACATTGACTGAAAGTAACAGAATGAAATTTAACACAGAGGAGTGCAAAGTACAGTAGTACAAAGATTGTAAGAAGCAAAAAAATAAGTTAAATACAACAGAGATATCTGGCTGGATATTTGTGAAAAAGAGTGAAAAAGAGTACTTGATTACAAATTGAATATGAGTCAGCACTGAATTGACTCATTTTTTATAGATTATCTACGTAAAAAAGAGAGATCCAACTTTATACTGCATCATCAGAAATCTAGTTTTCAAATCATTGGTAACAGTTTTAGGACATTCCTCTAAATCCAGTAGTGAGTTGATGTCTTGCTAGCTTTTGCTGGCTTGCAGGACAGATTTTGTGAACCTCTTGATGCTGGATTGAAGCAGGCATAAGCACCCCAGAACAAAGGAGAGATCATTGAGGTCATTCATGTGATTCCAAACAGTGACTCCTCCTGATTAGACTGTAGAAACGTCTCTTTCTATGGTCAGCTTCTGAGTAGGGTGGCTGCGAGTAGGTATGCATCAAGCCCACACTTACAAAGCAGACTTTACAGACTGCTTGACCAAGGCTTATATCTTAATTACTTTTTGGATTTATATTTTTCCCATATTGGAGAGATTAAGACTCTTCAAACTGGTCAGGTTTTCTTGCATTCATTGGGTGAATTTCTCCCTCCATAAAAGATGATGGTATAAATTGGATTTCAAACATTTTAAAAATATATAATTTTTTGACTATGTGGATTTTAGAAAGTTAATAAATTAAGGAGGAAGAGGGATTTGGAATTACAGTTTTGAATTATTTGGAAGATATTTTCTCATGGGGAAATGTAAATTGCATTCATATTTTTTTGAATGTTAAGGAGATTCTGAAGACCAAATAGTAGAGCCAGAATCTCAAAGGTGCTTTTCAAAAGGCAACTGGATTTTCTTTCTTTTTTTCCTTGAAAACATTTCACTCTCATCCAAGAAGGTTCTGTCTGAATGGTGGGGAATAGGAAGATAGAGCCAGAAGATAAAGAAAATGGTGCAGAAATCCCTAGTCCAAACTTTTCAACACCTTTCAGCTATGTTTCAGGACAGAATGGATGAAATGCTTGATAAAATTGGTAGAACATGTTGTGTTGTGGTTGAAAAAGAAGAATGGGCTGCAATGGATGCCTATAAAATCAGTTTTAAGGCGACTTAAATGTTAATACAAATGGATCTGATAGATGACTCATTTTTTAAGGGAGATGAACAAATATTAAACAAGGAAATTGATCTGGATATTTTCTTCTTCTAAGAAAATATCTTATCTTAGATTTGAAAGGACTTTTTTTAGAAGCAATAAATACAAAATAACTTTTTATTGATACACAAGAAATCTGTTAAAGTTCTGAAGGATTTTTGTTTTGAAACACAGATCAATAGCAACCGACCCATGAGAGTTATTTTTGAAAGGATTAAAGAATATTTTTTAAAAAAATCAGAAATTTATAAATGGGCATTTATTAAGGGAGGACTACCAGTAGAATAAATTGTAGGAAAGCCAATTCCTACAGTTAGAATAAAACTTTGTAAAAGTGGAATCAGTTACCTAGAGAAGTGACGAGCTTCCTTTCATCAAATGTATTCAGATGGAGGCTGCAGTAGATGGCCTTTTCATTTGGGTCTTGCACTAATCTGGGGGTAGATTCTATGGGTAACTTGGCCCCTTCCAACTCTGTTATTCTATAGGGTTTTTTTTTCAACAACTCTTACTAGCAGAACAGTTTGTTAGTTTACCTACTATTATATGCCAGATATTGCATGTATGAAAATTATAAAGCTTTGTTGGCTGGGGAATTCTAGGAGCTGAAGTCCATACAGATGGCCAAGGTTGAAAAACACTGAATAGGCTTTTGCATCTTCTTTCCTGGGGAAATGCTAATTGCAGTTATTAGTAAACAATAATATTAGGGATGGAATAGATAGAATAGAATTCTTTATTGGCCAAATGTGATTGGACACACAAGGAATTTGTCTTGGTGCAAATTCTTTCAGTATACATAAAAGAAAAGATATATTTGTCAAGAGTCAAGAATTATAAGGTGCAACACTTAATAATAGCCATAGTGTACAATAAGCAATCAAATCATACTAGGAAACAGTCAATATAAATCATAAGGATACAACTGACAAAGTTACAGTCATACAGTCACAGAGAGGGGATGGGTGATAAGGAGTGATGAGAAGATTTATAGTAATAGTAGGGCAGACTTTGTAAATAGTTGGACAGTGTTGAGAGAATTATTTGTTTAGCAGAGCGATGGCGTTCGGGAAATAACTGTTCTTGTGTCTAGTTGTTCTGGTGATAAATGATGATTAGGGTTACAGAAGTGACATGCTCTAAATTGAATTGAGTATAACCATCTCGTGTAAGAATTCTATTTTGCCCTACTATTATTATTGTTTTAGTTACAAAACTAGGGAATTTTATCATCCTTTCTTTGGTAACAGAGCCAATGAATTACCAGTAGAGGTCACTGTTGTAATGTCCAAATGAGGTGAGACTAATATATGCATGCCAAGGAAGTCATCAAGTTAAATGTTATATAAGGCAGAGGAAAGGAATCAGAAATAATGAGCAAAAGAAATTCAATATAAGCTAAATAAAAAACAAATCTAACAATTTATTTTATATAATATTGCATGATACATTACTATTCTTGCAAAACATCCTGCTTTTTACTATGTCTGTACAGGTAATCCTCAATTTACAACAGTTCATTTATTGACCCTTTAAAGTTACAATGGCACTGAAAAAAATGACCTATGACCGATTTTCATGTTGCAGCATTCCCAAGTTCACTAAATCAAAATTCAGAAGTTTGGCAAACTGGTTAATATTTATGACAGTTGCAGTGTCCCGGATCATGTGATCAGCTTTTGTGTCCTCCTGACAAACAAAGTCAGTGGGGAAGCCAGATTCACTTAACTGTGAAAAGAAAGGTCATAAAATGGGGCAAAATTTATGTAAGAAATGTCTTACCTAGCAACAAAAATTTTGGACTCAGTTATGGTAGTAAGAGGACTATCTGTTACATACAATACATTTCTTCATAAACATGTCTTCATATGTGTTCATACATTGCTTTTCAGTTTGAAGGAATATCAATTCCATCCAACTATGACTTTTGCAGGTTTCCCTTTTCCTCAAGCCAGTCACTCTTGCTTCACTCATTGATTTTGCATTCTGTCTTCATATGACTCACATGTCATATATAACAAAGTTGGTCTGATATATTACTGTATTTTTGCATTATAACACACTCCAGAATTTAAGACGCATCTAGCTTTTGGGGAGGAAAACAAGAAAAAACAGCAAACGGCCTGGTCAGCTTCAGCTTGTTATCGCAGCCTGATTTAGCACAAGCAGCAGATTGGCATTGGATCAGCCTCCCATAATATAGCTGATCAGCTGTTCCAGGCTATGGGGATTGCCGCCGGCTATTGCCACCGCCAGCTATTGCCACCACTGCCTATCACCACCTCCTTGCATCCCGTTTTTGGTCTCTGTGCACCTCATTTTTGGCCCTCGCATGTCCCGTTTTCAGCCCGTTCCAGGCAGTTGGGATCGCTGCTGTTCGCCACTATCAATTGCTGCTGATCGCCATTGGCAGTTGCTGCCAATCGCCACCACTGCCTATCGCTGCCACCACCAAATGGTGGTAGTGATTGGTGGTGGCAGCAGCGGCAGTCGGTGCCAGCAATCCCCGCTACCCGCAACGGCCAAAAATGGGATGTGTGGAGGCCAAAAATGGGGCACGTGAAGACCGAAAATGGCTGAAGGGTGGGGGCTGATGGGTGGATGGGGCTTCAGCAACATGAACTCTATAAGATGCACAGACATTTCCACACATTTTTTTTGAGGGGAAAAGTGCATCTTATAGTGCAAAAATATGGTAATTTTTAGGTCTCTGCTCCTTGTTGCATTATAGAATCTGTCTAACATTTGCTGCAAATCTTTAGGGACATAGTTGTACAACATTCCACAAGTAAAACTTATTCATCTTATCAGACACTTTCTCTAAATCAAAAGTTACCATTTCATTTGGTTGGACTAGAAGACTTCAAGGTCCCTTCTAAGTTCCAACTTTATTATTCTATGTTCATAGGGACATACCAAAAGTAAAAATGTTGTCTGCAGATCCCCTGTCAGCATAATGCTGATTTTTCATGTCTCAGATACTACTTTTCATGACAGATGACTTCACCCAGTGGTTCCATGTAGATGTTAAATAATATAGATGAGAGTGTAAGTCTACAACTGGCTCCTGTGGTATTACCCCTCTGCATTGTCAAAACTGACTGGAACCAACCCTAGAGAAAGAACCTCTGTAACACGATGTCCCTCACACTGAAATCCCACAGCCAGTCCAAGATACTGTGATTGACAGTCTCAAAAACTGCTGAGAGATGTGGAGATGGAGGATAGACACACTATCCTACTCTAGCTCCAGCAAAGGTCATTGACAAGCCCAATAAATCCTGTCTTCATATTGTACCCTGGCTGAAATGAGTCCAGGTAATCTGCTTCCTCCAGGATCCTCTGTAATTGCTATTCAACCACCACCTCAATGTTCTTAATGTAGACTGAGCAACAGTTGTTCAGGATTGCTGGATCCAGTGGCAGCTTCTTGAGGAGGAGGTGTACCATCATCTCATTCAAGGCTGATGGAACACTGATCTCCATGATGCTATCTTGAATAGGCATTTTTTCTTGCATTCAGTTAGATGATTTCTTCAACTTCGTCCAACTTCGTTCAACTTTCTCTTCTGTTTTAAACAGGTTTTAAAGATACCTGGTCCAATTCTGTATACTGGTTTCTAATGTAAGGGAAATGCCATTGTTATTTAAAATTTGATCACTTTACCTCTTCACCTTCTTAGTTAAAGGAAATTTGAGTAATTTATTTAAGCATTAGAGAACGTGGCAGGTATCTTATAACTTAGCTTTACACTGAGAAAAAAATGACTCACAGAAATTCTGTTTGCACATACAGGCTGAGACATTTTATGAAGCAGCCACACAAGCCTAGAAAAAAAATATGAGTGCTGTGGTGATTTGGATCAATTTCTGTGCATTGCAAAGCCCATCTTTTCATGGCTTGAATGTAAGAAATGAATTTGGAGAAACCGGATAAAGGAAAGGGATGCAATTTACTCCTACAGTATCAAATAATATTGTAACAACAGCAGGATTGAAAATGATGACAACTGGAATCAAGATAGACTAAAACATTTAACAATTTGAGATATGCAGAAGAAACAAAGACTTAGAAGATGTATTTTATGAAAACAAAAATGGAAAAAATAAAATCTGAGTTAATGTTAAATACCTTAATGAAAGGCAATGTTGGCTAGTATACTTAGTGATCTCAATGGTGAAAAAATGAAGGTGTTACATTGTTTTATTTTCTTGAGTGGAGGAGCACAAGGACAAATTTAGACAAGCTGAAGAAAATAAGGATATTTCTTTCTAGTGGTAATAGGTGGACAAAGAGTGTGAGAAACCCTTTGAATTAAGAAAAACACAGACTGTAAAAAGAATTAATAATTATTGAGTCAAACAAAAACTGTTCCCTTGAAGTGATGACCAACAAGCAGAAACTCACATGCTTTGGGCATGTGACATAAGCAGATGATGGACTGGAAATAACTATTACATTTGGTGTAGTTGAGGAGAAGTAGAAGAGAAAGGCAAAGGACAAGATGAATGGCAAATACAAAGAGATGGAAGAAATGTGCACTATTGCATTTGTTGATGGAAGAAATATGCACTATTGTCAGATAAAGGTTGAGGCTCCATTTATCCCTGCTGTTACCGTGAACTGAACTTAAATTTATAACACCTAATGAACAAATTGCACATATTTTAGAGCAAAGTGCTGATCTCTATGTTCCAGATGGATAGTTAGAGCTGTGAAATGAATCTGTTTTAACTGTGTGCCTTTAGCATTGTAAATATCTTTTGGTGTGCGGTTTACAAATGAGGGAATTCCTCGTCTCTGGGTTGCCAGCTGACCATATATACATATGGAAGGAAATTGGGAAGGAAGACAAGAAAAATCAGCACAGACTTGGTAATAGTTGCTGAGGTAATTGTTAAATATGCATGATGCTTTATTTACATGTGTTTACGTTATATGCAAAGTGGAGTCTGATGTCAGACTCCACTCATTGGTCCAGCCGCTGGTGGGAAGATTGAGTCCCCGTCAGTGGCAGAAGTGTTGGACAGCTTGCTTTTAGATTCCGGCTTTAAAATAAAGAGTTTCTTCACACTCCTGAGTCCTTCTTCTTCCTTATCTGTGCCCACTTAACACTGGTGACGAAGGTGGGATTCTGAGGAAGACAAGGATCTCGTGGACACCATGGCCATTTTCCAGTGAACTCGACCATTCCAACCAACAGTGAACCAACATGGCCCACTGACCCCTATCGATCCCATTCAAGCCAACCAAGGAGAAGTGGTCCTCGTACATGGGAAGATTCAACCTAAATTTGGAGGTAAATGGGATGCAGGCAGCATCCGATGCAAAGAAGGCAGCTTTCTTCTTAACCTATTGAGATTCGGAACTCTATGAACTAGCCGAAGCTCTTGTTGCGGATGAAGATGGTAAATGTCTCCTGGGACGAGCTACAATGAGCTTTGAAGGGGCATTTTTACCCTACCCCATCGTACCTGGCAAACCGGCATCACTTTTATATCTGGAGCCAAAAATAGGGGGAGAGCATAAACAATTTCGTGGCCACATTGAGGAGGCTATCAAAGAACTGTAAATTCACAAACGCCAAGGACATGATCCGGGACCGGTTAGTCCTCGGCCTCAGGGACTTAACCTTACAGAAGAGACTGCTCGCAAGGAAGGAAGTATCATTTAAGGGAGCCCTGGAAGAAGCGAAAGCCGCGGAAACCTCCGACTGTTCTGTAGCCTGAATCAAGGACAGCAGCAAGGTCCATCCATACCAAGAAGAGGGCACAGCGAAGTCCATCCTGCTCTGGAAGCAGTAACAGCGAAGAAGAAGATGTCCACTGGATAAGATCCAGCAAACCTGGGACAGCCAAGGGAGCCAAGCCTTGTGGAGGCTGCGGAGGGAATAATCCCCAGTCTACCTGCCATTTCAAGGAGACCATCTGTAGGTGGTGCGAGAGGAAAGGCCACATCATGGAAGACTGCAGAGCCAGCCAACCAATGGACAAACAGAGCTGCAGGGCATACTCCCCATTAGGCAATACAAGGGTCGGAAGGCATCTAGTGCAAAATTCAAAAAACAAGATGGCACCCGGGAGGAAGAGACCTACCATACCATTGTGGGCTATGCACACCCTGAGTGGGACACACAGACACTTTTGAATCCAACAAGATCCTCACCCAGGTGAGGATTGATGGGACCCTGTGCCCAATGGAAGTTGACTCTGGGTCTTATATATCCATGATTTCTTGGGCGGCCCTACAGAAGATCAACCCCCGCATCAGCCAGAGCCAGCTGCAGCCACAACGAATCATACTGAAGGACTACCAAGGCTGCAAAATACCGGTGCTGGGGAAGAAAACATGCCACGTAGAATACGGAGAATTCTGGGGAGCCCCGCCATTGACCAAAATGGACCGAGATCTCCCCAGCCTCCTAGGGAGAGAATGGTTTGCGCTGCTGCAGATCAGCCTCACTGGCATTCACACGACAGCGATGGCCAGATGAAACATCGGAAGCTTTGGAGAGGGAATTCCAGGACGTCTTCAGCAGTGAACTGGGCAAGTACAAGGGGACCCCTATCAATTTTAACCTCGACCCCAACATAGCCCCTGTCCGACTGAAGTCCCAGAGAGTCCCTTTTGCTCTGTGGCCCAAGGTTGAAGAGCAACTAGACAAGCTAGTAGCTCAAGGGGTCCTCGAACCGGTAGACCACATAAGATGGGAGACCCCTATAGTGACCCCTGTGAAGCCCAATAGGTCAGTCAAAATCTGTGCTGACTACAAGAGTACCCTGAACCTCGCACTGCAACAGAGTGCATATCCGGTGCCAGTGGCTCAGCACCTATTACATTCCTTGGGCCGGGGCAAGATCCTTGCTAAATTGGACTTAGCCCAGGCATATCAACAACTGCCTGTGGATGCAGCCACCGCAGAAGCCCAGACGATCGTGACCCACAGGGGCACCTTCAAATGCAAGTGGCTGCAATTTGGAGTTAGCATAGCCCCTGGCCTATTCCAAAGCCTCATGGAAAGGCTATTACAAAATCTGCCAGGAGTTGTCCCCTATTTTGACGATGTAATAATCTCAGCCGGAGACAAACCCCAGCTAATGAAGGGGGTCCGAGCAGTACTAGAATGATTTCAAGAAGTGGGGCTAAAGTTGAAAAAGGACAAATGCTACATTGCCATACCAAGCATAGAATTTTTGGGTTTCTTAATCGATGGGTCAGGCATCCAACCCACGGACAGCAAGATGAAGGAGATTAAGGAAGCCCTCACCCCACAGAGTAAAGCTGAACTTCAAGCCTTCTTGGGTTTACTAAATTTTTATAACATATTTTTGCCACAGAAGGTGACCATAGCAGAACCACTCCATAGACTGCTGGATAAAAATACAACCTGGAAGTGCCCCCCTCAAGACACCGCGTTCACCAAAATAAATGACATTTTAGCATCTGACATTGCACTGATGTAATATAGCGCGACCCTACCTCTATGGCTAACCTGCGACGCATCACCCTATGGCATTGGGGCAGTACTGAGCCACAGGTTACTGAATGGAAAGGAAGCCCCCATAGCCTACTATTCTAAGACTTTGTCGAAAGCCGAAAGGAACTATGGCCAAATAGACAAAGAAGCCCTCGCCACCGTAGCCAGAGTGAAACGTTTTCATGAATACCTCTATGGCAGACACTTCAAGTTGATCACCAACCACAAGCCGCTGCTTGGCATTCTCTCAGAAAACAAACCCACACCCAACATCTTATCGCCAAGAATGCTAAGATGGACAGTTTTCCTGGCAGCCTATAACTACAGCCTACTACACAGACCAGGGAAGAACATCCCACACACCGACACACTCAGCAGATGCCCCCTGCCAGACTTAGTGGAAGACCCAGCCCTAGTGACTTCCATATTCCTTGCAGAAAGTCTCGAGCCAGGCTTACTGATGGCAGCGGACATCACAAGACTCACCGGTAAGGACAAAACGTTGGTGTGAATTTTGACCTGGTTATGGAGCGGCTGGCCAAACAAGATGGAAGGGGAGGAATTCACGCTATTTAGAAACAGATAAGTCTTGAGCCAGGCTTACTGATGGCAGCGGACATCGCGAGACTCACTGCTAAGGACAAAACATTGGTGCGAGTTTTGAACTGGAGGGGCTGGCCAAACAAGACGGAAGGGGATGAATTCACGCCATTTAGAAACAGATAACTAGAGCTGTCAGCATTAAGGGGGTATTTGTAATGGGGGGACAGGGTGACTGTACTTCAGCTGTTAAGGAAGAGGATTTTGGGATTACTACATGAAGGGCACCCCAGGATAGTAAAAATAAAGGCCCTAGCAAGGAGCTACATCTGGTGGCTGGGGATAGACAGAGACATTGAGACTTGGGTCGCCACATGCCCACCTTGTCAGGAGTCCCGACCTGCCCCTCTCTCATCACCCCCCCTCAAGTTGGAAAAGTCCTCAGCAATATGGGCTCGCAAATACATAGACTTTGCAGGACCCTACCAGGGGCAAACATTTCTAATCGTGGTTGATGCCTACTCTAAGTGGTTGGAGGTGGTCATCATGAAATCCACAACAAGCGAGGCAAGGATCAGAGCATTACGGAAATTATTTGCCACCCAAGGGCTACCCGATGTGCTGGTTTCGGACAATGGCCCGCAATTCACAGCACAGTAATTTGAAAGCTCCCTCGCCCAACTGGGGATCTCACATGTCCTATCGGTGCCGGCACACCTGGCTGTGAACGGGCAAGCAGAGAGGATGGTGCAAACAACCAAAGAAATACTAAAAAAATTAGGCCCTTGGCTATTGGCAAGAAAGAGTTGACAAATTGCTGCTAATCCAACACATAACACCAAGTGCAGCAACAAACAGAAGCCCAGCAGAAATGCTCATGAACAGAAAATTAAGGTTCACCCTGGACAGGGTCCATCCAAACTACACAAGCGACACCCCTTTACACTCCACGGGAAAGTGCAGGACATTCACACCAGGAGACCCAGTGTATGCACACAACTACATGGGAGGGGCAACCCGGGTCCTGGTGAAAATAATTGAAAGTACCAGACCCAGATCATACAGACTGGAAGTAGAAGGGGGAAAAATATGAAACAGGAACTTATCCCAACTGCGGGGCCGCATAGCTCAACCCCCACACGAAGCCGAACAACACAACACTCCTCCAACAACAACTAGACCCTGGGAGTTAGAAACCCGAACAGAATAGTGGAGAACTTACCTTGGGATAGAAACTGCCATGCCTCTGGAAACCTTTGAGGTGCTATCCGCTCAGGCTGCAGCCTCAGGAACAACTGAACCACACAGACCCAGTCGCACCCATAGAAGCCCTGCCTACCTGAAGGACTACGTCTGCCGCGTATGTGGTGATTGGTTGGTCTGAACTAAGAGGGGAGGGGTGTTAAATATGCATGATGCTTTATTTACATGTGTTTACATTATATGCAAAGTGGAGTTTGATGTCAGACCCCACTCATTGGTCCAGTCGCTGGCGGGAAGATTAAGTCCCCGGCGGGAAGATTAAGTCCCCGTCAGTGGCAGAAGTATTGTTTGCTTTTTGATTCCGGCTTTAAAATAAAGAGTTTCTTCACGCTCCTAAGTCCCGCTCCTTCCTTATCTGCACCCACTTAACCGTAATATTCAATATTGATAATCATCCATCAGCTGGAAGTTTTCATACTTCCAATTTCTATGTCCACTAAAACATTCATGGGATTGTCCTTTTCCAATATAATTCTGTATTTACACATTCTCTAATTTCAATTAGACAAACAGTAGTAGATTATAACTGTTCAATAAGATGTAAAATAAAAATAAAAATGCACTGTCTGAATGTTCATAATAAAACAGAAAATTGGCAATGTAGTCGTAGCACAGTAGAAAGTATCAAAGGCTGTTAAGAAATTACTGTATGAAAACAGAGTGCTTCACTTGAATTTATATTACATCCAATATTCATACTTATATTCATTCAACTAGCTGAAGGTCCAATTATATGTATTCATAAGGATTCAGTAAAGACGTTTTAAAACAATGCCAAACGCTCCAGTTTTTATCTAGGAGAAATATTGGTAGTGTGCCTTTATTTCATCCAGAAGAAACAACAGGATTACATACAGTATTTTCTGCTGCCAGCTCTAGTAACTCATTTTATTAATCTCATTAAGCCATGTATGTGGTTTTTGACTTAGAATGATATATATTCTAAATATACAAAGGCATTCCTATATGAATCAGTCAGTGTATCTTGCTACAAAGATAAACATAAACTTCTGCAAATGGTGGTGAAGCAACCTGTTATGCCCCTGTCAGAGTCTGAATCCTAGGAGGAAGACAAACAGCTGACAGGGAGTGGGAATGTGGCTCCATTGGCTGTGGAGGAAACTGGGGAAGGGCAAAGTCTGGCTGGGCAGAGTAAATAGAAATAGAACAAGGGAGAGGGAGTACAAAGGAAGACCCAGGCCCACCCCCTCTTCATTGTAGGGCACGCAGGAAGGAATGGAAAAGAGAGCAACATGGGTTGCGTGGCTTATGGGGGAGGAAAGGGCCGTGATTCCCTTCATTAGCCACACCTGGGAATGAGAGTTTAAAAGAGATGCATGCTGAGTGCGGCAGCTGTTGGGAGCAAACGTAAGTTTAGCTTGTGTTGACTTTAGTTATCTATATTTCTGGCCTCTTTCCAACCGTGTTATTGCCGTGCCTTCACGTCTGGAATTCTTGCTCCTGCCCTGCTGAACTAATTACCTCATTTTGGACTTGTACTTACAGTTTTTGTTGACCACATTTTGGACTTGATTCTCTGCAGCCAAAGGCTGTTCCTGGGAGAGTTTTTCTCTAGCCAAAAGGTAACCAGGATATTGAGGGCAAAGTTGGAGCTAATAAAGGGACTCCTACTGATTATCTGACCACGTTGCCTTTGTGCCATGCCCCAAGTCATCACACAACCATTGGACATTGTTTATTTCACCAGGACTGTAAGGATTTGCTTTTCTTGAAACAACAATTGGTAAACGTCAACAATTTAAAGTAGAATTATGCATACTATATATCTTCAAACTTTTAACATTATCTAATATAACTTTAACTGTGAGTTTAGAATTTTATTCTGGGCTTCTTAGGATGAATTAATTAATTAGGATGAATGAATTATGCAACTATGCATATTTTCATTTAAAGCATCTAACAGCTATAGAAGCTTCAAATTGATGTGATAGTTGACTCATCTTTATATTTGTCAAACTGTTCTGAAATCACAGTTGTGGTAACTCCAGCTAAGATATTGTTTGCTTGATTTTATTCCTGAAATTGAGTTATACATGCAAAAGGAATAAATTAATAGCATGGTTGGAGTATCCTATATAATGCAGTTTTGGTCAATGGCCTTATACTGACACAAGATTTATTCCTCAGTGTTACTCATTAAGTCATGTTTAGAAGGAAAGTTGTACGAAAGTTTACTTGTATCCGCTATTGTACATGCTCTAATTTGGCTGGGGGAGAGGGACCCTAAATGAATGTTGTATGATGAGCATTATAAATAACTCAACAGCTTCTGCAAAATATATTTTATTTCAGGATTTATAAGGAAGGACTTTCCATTTCTGAGGTATGCCAAAGCAGTCAAGAAGATGGAATTCAAGTTTTACCTCCAAAATCACCAAGAAGTATGCCTGAGTGGCAAAGAATAGCTGAGTTCTATGTCGAAAAGCCTCAACTGAAATTGTTAGGAAAAAAGGTATGGCTTCATTCATACTTGTAGTAATTTATAGGAAAGCTTTTAGGTATTTTTAAGAAATCCCATTTTTAAAGAGTAACTGGGATTGGTTTTCTTTAAATCTCACAAAAGCAAACATATGAAGTTTGTTGGGTATATGGATACACCAACTAGGTTTGGATGAATAAATATAT